ATTGTTATTATTATTATTTAAATCTGGGCTATTGCACTGATTTCCTTCTGCATTTATGCCCGTGTTGATGTTGATCTGGCCCTGGGGTGTCACTGCAATTCGCTTCGCTTCCTTGAATTATATGGAGAGGAGCGTTGGCAGCTCCTCCAAGCCTTTGCCAGGGATGTCCACATGCCAGCATGTGGAAGGCATCACTCTCTCCTGGGTGGGGATGAGCTGCCCGGGGAGCTCTGCCTTTCTTTTTGCTGGTCTGATGGAGCTTGTAAATTTGCTGCAGAGGGAATCCGAGAGGGGCCAGGTCTCCTCTCCTCCTCATCCTCCAGGATGGGGAGCATCATCAGGCGCCAGAAATCGTGAAAGACCACACACGGAGCCTGGAAACCTTCTGCCTCGGGTTCCCGTGGAGCGCAGGAGCCCTGATGTGGGACAGGGACAGCCTGGTGCAGGAGGAAACAGTAGGGCAAACCCGGTCACCAGTGAGAAACTGGGGGGAGAGGGATCTGCAGGGAGACGGGCAGGTTTGGGGAAAGGAAAGTACCTTCAGCAAAAGGCAGATGTCAATCTCCTGGCCCAGCACCGTCACGCGTGCCGGGATGTTACGGGAAAGATGTGGTTCTAAAGAAGAAGGGGAGGAAGGAGGTGGCTCCCTGGGAACTCTGGAGCTGTGGAAGGAGGAAATGCAAAGGTGTTTGCTCATGAAGGGACGTGGGCAGATGGCTTGGAGGACAGGGACATGCTCCAGGCTACTCCTAGGACATCACCAGGCCAGATGGGAAGCCCCCTCACTTCTACCTTCGAGCTTCCAAGGCAAAGACAGAGGCTCCTTCATGGATAGCACCAACAAAACTAGATTTTAAGGCAGTTTCAGTGCTGGAAATGGGGACTCTGAGGTGCAGCAAAGCTCTTTCCTCCATCTCTCCCCCCTGCTCGTTGCCTGGGTCCTGGGCTGCTGCGTCAGGTCACGGGTCATTCATCGCGTGGACTCCTAAGAATGTAAAAAATTGCTGTGCGCATCCCTGGGTGGTATTATATAAATTTCCTTTGTAACCGTTTAAAGAAGAGACTGCACAGTGGCATGAGGGTGTCACTCTGAGCGTTACCCAAACCCATCCCGTCCCCCCCGGCTCCCAGCGAGGCGGGTTTGCATACTTGTGCAATTCCTGTCCCTTAACAGCATCAAATGCACACGACGGTGGTAAGAACATGTTCTTCTGGCAGCGATGAGTGAAATGCACCCCTGAGCAGCTGAACAATTTAATCCTGGGGAGTGCCTCATCTTTATATTTGTCTGTTTTCCCGGTCGGTGTGTGCGCGTGTGTTGTTACTCTCTTGACGTGGTTTGTGGGTATCACAGGTTTTGCTTCCGTTTATTTTTTAACCTCCCCCACTGGGACCTGTTCCCCACGACTCACTGAAATCACACACCGCAGTCTGGAGGCGCTTGAAAAAAAAAATAAAATTGAAAAAAATAGAGCAAAGTTTCTCAAAGCACCCAAATTCTAGCACCGTCTTAGCCCCACAATATGGGCAAACCTCTGCAAGCAACCCAGTAGCTTACTGGGTTAATGGTCCCCAGCTGAGTTGCAGCTACTGCCCACCACTGGGGTTTGAGCCCTCTCTAATTAAAATGCCCTTTGCGGGTTTTAAATTAATTGTATCCAGCAACTGGGGGGGCTGTGATGAGGTGTAACTGCTCAGCTGGGCAGGATTTTCTTCCAGGCAATGGAAAACTGATGGTATAAAGGGGGAGATGGGGGAGGTGGGTTTCTTTTTGAAGCTCAGGCACTGGTGTTGGGTACCAAGGCTTGATGCTCCTTCCAGAAACCAACGAAGAGAACATCCCACCCCAAAGAGTTCTGGCTTGTCCGGCTCCTTCTATTGTGTGTTAAAGGGACATTATCTCCACTCATCAAGAGTGGAAGGAAGGCAGGAGGGTGATTTCAGCTAGAGGAACTTCTTGAAGACCAAGAAGGTATGAACTGGTCAGGAAGGAGGATACTGACTCTGGGGAGCAGGAGATGAAGCTCTGGGGTGGTGGCTTGGGGCTGGTAGGCACTGGAGACCTCCCAGCCTACCCTGTACTGGGATGCTGGCAGGGTGGGAGATGAGGGTAGGGCTTTGCCCCTTGAGATTAAGGGTGTTTTGATTTCTTTTATCCTTCCAAACCTCTCTTCAGGCATGCCCTGGGGCTCACAGCTTGCCTGTTAATCTCCCATCCAGGGACCAAGCCCGATGGCAGGATTTAGCATTAATAATCCATGGATAATACAGCAGCTGGAAAGCCTAGGGTAAATTCCTGCATTTTTTTAATGGGTTTTCTTTCTAAGTCCGTGGCGGAACATTCACTGCCAGTGGGAGCTTTTCCCTCTTGGGAATGGGGGAAAGCGTATTTGCAGAGGGCTCCAGGGTGTGCCATCGTCTATGTTGATGCAGCAGATCCCTTAATTATCCCATCAGGTTTTCTTTACCTTAGTTTTGGTGTGATTGAGCGTTCAGCACAGATGCTTTAATCCCTGTGAAATCCCTCACGGAGTTGGCAGGGTGTGGCCTTGACAGTTTTTGTGGTGGTGTGGTTTTTTTTTTTTTTCCTGGGTATTAAAGGTAGAGGAGTGCAGGGGAAGGGCTGCCTGCCATGGGCTGATGTTGGGGGATGTTGAAGGGTTGGGACGATGCTGTATGAGAGCATCACAGCCCAGAGCCTGGCTCTGGTGGGGACTTACCCTCCTACTGCACCTGTGAGACTGGGAAAAGGGAAGATCTAGAGAAAATGACCTTTTTGGTAGAGCTCTGACACATTTAAGAGCTTCCAGCTCAAACAGCAAAGCAAAGAACTGGGCTCAGAGCAGATTTTTTGGTGGAGAAGGTTGGTTCATTGCTATCATTAGGCAGAGTCAGCCTTGTCATCTCCATGGCATGAGACTCCCTTCAAGCCTTGCAGCTCATGGGCTCTCCCAGCTCATTTTCCCGGCTGTGGAAAGACACGAAGGTTTCTCAGAGCCCCCTGAAATGGTTCCCTCTTAGTGCTGGATGTGTTCTGGGGCTGGGCGGTGAGGGAAGACCGAGACACCCTCTGGGAGCTCAGGGGTTGGGAATGGGTCTTCCAGACACCAGGGTGGTGGAGGAGTTTGGTGTCTCTTCCCTGGCGCTTTTTATTTAGTGGGAGGCTGTTGAGCTGCTTTTCTCTGCTGAGGGTTTTTTTCCTCTTCCAGACCCAGTATTTTAACTCTTTGAAGCATCTTCAGCCTTGGGATGGAGCATGGAGGGGGGGATCCTGCATTATCCCACCAAAGAATCTGGCTTGGCCAGGGACTGCAGCTGGGATGAGTCTCCCTCTGGGGCTGGTTAAGAAAATGGGTGTCTCCTTTCTCACCACCACTCCAGGCATCACCTGGAGTTTCTGTTTCCAGGCTCTTGACCCCTGGACTCATCCCCTACTTGAAGGGGATCAAGGGGTTTGGTTTCCTTGTGCTCGGTGGCAGCGAGAACCCCACCTGCTGGGTTGAGTTTCTCTCCCTGGCTTGGGACCTGCCCAGTTTTATGCCTCTGCTCAACCTCAGAGGAGAATGAAAGCCCTTGAGGAGCTTGCGGTTAACAGGCACTTAATTGATTCTGAATAATCCTGACAAGTTTTTGCAGTCCTTGTGGTAATCACCTCTCTTTCCAATTGAATAGCTCGGGCTAGGTCTGTTCGGATGCCAGCTGTACATTGCTTGGCTGCATTCTTTCATTTCCAGCTCATGCTTTCCCTTTAACCCTTCCTTTGCCGGCTTCTCCCCCGAAGCTGTGAATGGGGATGGGTTTTTCAACCTCCTTTCTTTGAAGACAGCCTGTTTGTCACCTTCTCTGGGACTTTTAGGGAGCCTGAAATGTGGTAGGGCTTTTTTTTTTTTTTTTCCATGGCAGTGTAAGCAGATAAACTAGTTCCTTTTTTGTACCTGTATTATACACTCAGTGAACTAACTTGAGGTATGATGTGTGCCAATGGCATGGCAAGTGATAAATGAGACTCGAAGGGGCTGGGGAAGGACCAGAGGGAGGATGTGGAGGGCTGGGATGAAGGGGCAGAGATCCCAGCCTGAGAGTGGCCCCAGCACGGCCCGAAACCACTGTCACTGTGGGAACGCAGCGTAAGACATCTCTCCCTCCCCGCAAGCCTCTCCATGTGTTAAATGAGGGTGTGTTGTTTTTGTGTAGTGTTTGTCCTGTCTGTCTCTTCCTCTGTCCTGGACAAATTTTCTGCCCCTGTGAAGCACTTCACTATGTAAAGGAACAATTTCTTCCCCCCCGCCCATCTCCTGCTGCCTGCAGCTGGGCGGTAAGAGGAGATGTCATCACCTGACTGTGCTCTGCAGACTGTAATTCCACCCCAGACCCTGTCATGGGGGGGTAAAACCTCATTCTCTTTGTGCCCCTTCCCTTGGACTCCCCGTTCAGCCCCCTCCTCCGTGAGCTTGAGTTAATATTCCTTTGGGGATGGGGGCTGCATGGTGGTCACAGTCTGCTGGCTGCCCTGGGACACCTCCAGACCCTCCTCGTGCCCCCCAGCTGGGGCTCTATGGGTCAATGTATGTGGGGCAAATGAGCCTTAACCCCTCTACCCCCCCTTCCATGCGAAGCTGGGAAGGGTCAGGATGGGAACCAAGGTGGGTGTGTGTGTGTGTGTGTGTGTGTGTGTGATTCCTCCCTCCTGCTCTCACATTGGGAACTTGGCTCAGGCCTCCCCCTCTGCCCCAGCGGAGCCTCCAGCCCCCCACGATAGCCCCCCGTGCCATGTCTGGCCACAGCATGGCCAGTGGGAGCTGCTGCTGTGACTGCTGGTGGCAGAGAGATGCTGCAGCAAAGCATCCTTCATCCCTCCCGTCTCCATCCCCTCTGCAACCTCGGCATCTCTGGTGTGTCTGCTTCCCACCCTCGTGGGACCCTGCTGTGCCCCCTGCACCCTTCCCATCGCCGCCGCTGGCTGCTCGCCTCCATTTTTAGCTGGTTTTTTCCCGGCTTCCCCCTGTACTGCAGGCTGGAAATGGTACGGTCCTCCCTCCAGCGCCCGTGGTGTCTCCGTGGATGTTGCTAGAAGGTGAAGGCATCAGCGCAGGCTGCGGAGGCTGCAGCCGTTGCCGCTGGCCCCCAAACACCCTGGGAGAGGGGGTGGACGGGACCTGGTGAGGGGGGTTTCTGCTCATCCTCGGTCCTCTCCCTCCTGCCGCCGCTGGCAGGGTCCGGCAGCATCCCTAGCAAGGAGCCATGACCCAGGGAAAGGTAGGTGGGAGGCCAACACTGGGATGATGAATTGTCCTGCTTGTTTGAGTGGGGGGAAGGGGGCACAAAATGGGTTGAAAGGAGGGGATTTAAGGAACAAAAAAAATCGCCATGGAGCGGGGAGCTGGGTACTCTGCAATGGGGGTGTTTCCAGCAGAGGAGGGGGATGGGGGGGCTGTGTTGTTATAGGGCTGGGGGCTGTTTGTGCTGGTGCTGGATGCGGAGCTCAGCCTTGCTGTTGGACCTTTGGCCGTTCCCTCCTCCCATCCCAGGTGTCAGGGAGCTCAATGAGGGGCTTGTCTCTCCCACCCGTGCTCCCAGTAGCCAGTGCTGGGCACCCCCCTCCCTGAGCACCCCCTTCCTGCTCCAGGGAGTTCTGGATTTTGGGGGTTCTCCAATGCTCAGAGACTGGGAGGGGGGTTAAATGCATCCTCTGCCAGCACGGTGCACCATTGCCATGACAACAATGCTGGAGGCTGCCTGGATGCAGGCAGCATCTTTTCTCTATCTCCTTGGGCATCTCTAGGGGTCTTGTGTGACATTGGCCACCCAAGGGCAGGGTATGGAGGATGGTGGGGGGGACAGTCCCCATGAGCTGGCAGAGGATGTGGCAGAGCTATCCTGGTGCAGCTGCATCTGCTCCTGGTGCATGCCACCTTGAATTTAAGACCTTCTTGCAGGGACTGTGCTGTCTGTTGCAGGGCTGTGAGTCCGTCCGCTTCATTTTGGACTCCTTGTGGTTCCAGCCCCACATCCCTGTGATCCGTGGGGATGCTCTCCCTGATGCTGAGCTGTACCCCCCCCTCCCCTCTTTGGCAGCGAGGGCAGGCCACCAGGCTTGTGACTTATCCTGGGATGACAAAGATCTAGAAGGTGAAAGGGATAATGTTCCCAAGGAGAAGGAATTTCTCAGGTGGCCTGAGGCTGGCTCTTGGCTGGGATTGCAATAGTCGGAAGAGGTGGGATCCCAAGTCCCTTATCTGCACCTCCAAATTCTGGGAAGCAGGAAGGCTGAGCCTCTGCATGGGCAGAGAGGAACGAGGGAGAAAGAAATATTGGAGGATCAAACCAGAGCTCTTCCTGGGCGCCAGCAGAAACCCCCCCAACTGTGGGTGCAAGTGGAAATGCAGGAGTTCAGGGTTCTTCTGCCCAGTAACTGAAAGCTCTTTTTTTAAGGGGAAATTTAGAAAGAAGTAGGCTGAAAAGCAGATAATTATTTGGATGCTTTCCAGTGTTATGTATGAGCTTGCGGCACCACAGAGGACCCTGGGCAAGGCTGTCTCTCTCCTCAGATGTAGTTGCCTACAATTTTTCATCCCCTTTAACATGGCAGATTTTTCCCCCATCTCTCCCCTCAATCACATCTGAGGATGTTCCTTCCTTGGGGAGCAGGTCTGGGTCCATTGCCAGCTCATGGGAGTTACTGGGGGTCCTTCTAGTTCCTGGGACCCAACGGAGGGACCTCCAGTGTGTGTGACCTGTCAGGTTCCCATTCCAGGGCAGTTCCTCTGCTGGTTCTACAGTCTAATCTCGCTTTTCCTCCCTGCCCTTTGTGCAGCTCTCTGTGAACAACAAACCCCCCAACTCCGAGGGGCAAGGGGAGAAGAAGGACAATGCCACGGCTCCACCAGCTCCTCCGACCTATGAGGAGGCAACAGCGGGAGAAGGGATGAAGGCTGGGGCTTACCCTCCTCCCCCATCGGTCCCGCTCCATCCCAGTTGGGCTTACGTCGACCCCAGTAAGTCCTTCTGTGGCTGTAGCCAGGGTGAGCCCCCACAGAGGGGGGAGAAGGGTGTGGAGATCCCCCCTCCAGGCTTGGTGAGAAGAGGGAAACCAGGGATGTGGTGCCCAGTTTGGTCCATGGTGGAGCTCACCCTAGAGCTGTAGCTACAAGCCACAGAAGTCTCTATCTATACGTAAAAACCATTTCACCCAACCACTAGACCACGCTGAGGTGGGACTAAACTCCAGTCCCTGCTCCCCAGTACTGGGATGGGGAAAAAAATCCCCTCTCCCAGCTTGCTGCACTGGGCAGTGCCACCTCCTGGGGCTGGGGAGGGTCCTGGTGCCACAATCCCAGCTCTGCAGGCACCAGCCCCTGCCCCCCTCCCTCCAGCTCCTGCTCAACCCTGGCTTTCAAAGAAGCTGCTGAACTGGCAAAATCAGTGTCGGGGCATCAGTGAGGTCTGGCTGCTACGAGCCGGTGTTTGGAGCCAGCGGAGGCTAAAACGCAGCTGGACTTGAAGGCTGAATTGTTCCAGCGTCCGTCTGTGTGGCCGAATCCTCGGCAAACAAACAGCTTTTCTTCCCCGGGTGCTGCCTGTGGCTTCTGCTTGGTCGTGACAAGGGGACAAAGGCTCGACTGTGCCCAGTGCAGGGGAACAGCTGGCTAACAGCAAGCTGGGATGGGTGCAGTGGTCAGCAAGCAAGTCTGCTGGGGTGGCCAACTGCTCCGTCAGCGTTGAACTGGAGAGACTGGATTTAATGGTGCTCTCTCTGCTCAGTCCCCTTCCTCTGCTGTGCTCTGCTGGTCGCCTGTTCCATCCAGGATGGGCGCAGCTGCAGGGATGGAGATGTTTAGGGAAGGGGAATGAGCAAACTAAACCCCTCTGAGATGTGTGTCCCTTCACACCCCGGTGGCTCCACAGATTTTTCCCATTCTTGTTTGCCTTCAGGGGTCAGAAAGAGAGGGGATAAAGAAACCTCCCAGCTTCTGTGACAACCATCTGGGTCTCTCCACTGTCACGATGAATTAGGATGGGCAAAGCCCAAATGGGTCAGGATGCGGGTATTTTGGGTTTCCCGGAGGACTTGTTTAGGTGATGTCATCTCTTGTCCCCTCCCTGACAAGCCTTGTGGGATTTTCTTCTCTGCAGCTGTGTCCTGATCCCTGCTGGTCTCTTCCTCTGATTTCATGTGCTTCTCCCCTTTCCCTGCCCTCGGCCACGCTGCGAGCGGTGGCTCCTGTCCCAGACACAGACCATGGGGCTGTAACTAACAGCTTATACGAGGCTGGAAGTAGCTGGAAAGAAGTGGCATGGTTTTGGGGTTGTTTTCTTTAATAATGAGTTCGGGATGTGCTGTCTTGCTGCCTCAGATGCGGCTATGGGTGGGAGGTGACAGATGCTGGGGACACATGAGCCAGGGAGGGAGGACACCCCCTCCATTCCTCGGAGGCATTTAGGTGCCTAATTTGCTGTTTAGATGCCTCGATTGCTTTGATGCAGGAGGCAGTGAAGTGTCCCCAGGGACATGGGCCTCGGGTGCTCTTGGCCCTGTGTGGGCGATGACGGATCTCGCAGGAACGCGGGGAGGACGTGTTGCAGGAGTTCCATCTCCACCGGGGCGCAGGAGAAGGCACAAGAAGAGCAGAAGGGATTTATTTCCTGCCAGGGCATCTTTAGGATGAGGCTCCTGAATAAGAGCAAACAGCCTTTGACCAGTAAAACAAGAGATCCAGCAGCAGGACCTCGAGTTTGGCCTTCCTGGTGCCTGCAGCCTCTCCTCTGAGTTTGGGAGAGTCTTTCCTCCGCCTGCCTGGAGGATCTGAGTATCACGGGGCTGAAAAGATTTGAGAAGGAGGGGAGGCATCTGTGAGACAGGCAGGGACACGAATGTGCAGCTGGTGTAATCGCATAAGCCTTCGTTCTGTAGGAAACTCAGGCGGGGAGAAGTGGCAGTGACACGGGAGGGGACATTGGCAAGGGAAGTGAATGGCACAGGGCAATGATGCACTAAGAAAATAGAGGTTTCAGTGTTTATTTTATGAGGTTCAGGGGATGGAGGGGGCTGATTCTACATCTAATTCGTGCGGCTGATCCTGGTGGGGAGAAGCTGCTGCGTTGGGTTTCTTCTGCAGCCTCTTCCCTGTGATATCCCCGCTCCTGCCGCCATCCCTGGCTGTCGGCGCAGAGGTTTTCTGATGTTTCCCTCCTCCTCTCTTCCATCTGTAGGGAAACCTCATGGTTTATGGTCCAGCCTTTCCTCCTAGCCCATCTGCAGGGAAATTCCAGCAGCAAGAGCCTGTATTACAGCCCAGCAGGGATGGCTCAAGGCAGGATGGATTTTTAGGGAACATGCTCTGTGGCAGCTTTGGGGTTAGTTCCCCCTCATTTAGGTTTGCTGCTGAGCTGTTCCCTGACTCCCTGAGTGGAAAAGGGATTCGGGGATGGACCAGGTAGAAAAGCGAGGTGCTCTCGATGGGAGAGGACACATGGGTGACATCAGATGTGATACAGAGATGGATTAAACCCAGGCAATTAGAGAGCAGCGAGGGAATCCTGCACCGGAGCCCCGATGGGGATGACTGAGGAGCTGAGTCACGGCTCCTCTGGGGGATGCTTTAGTGTTCAGTGAAAGGTGAGCAAGGGTATGATACGAGCCCTCTAATTGCCATTAAAAATACAGTGTTACCACGGGCAGGAATTAGCCCTGGTGTCCTCGTTGTGCTGGAGTTTGCAGAAGTGGTTTCCCTGCTCTGTTCTCAGAGATGGTCCCAAGAAGATGCAGGAGTGGGAAGTGAGCAGAGTGTGACCCAGCAAGGGCAACAAGAAAACCTTTGAATTTGGGGCTCCTGAGCTGTAGTCAGTCACTGGGGTGAGACTACTGGAGCTGGGGAGGGAACTGGGTGATGGGACCTGATCTTTCTGGCTTCTGCTTCAGGCACCAGCCCCAGCTATGGCAGCGGCGGGTACCCAGGGGACACGGAGATGCTCACGACCTTCAGCTGGGATGACAGGAATGTGCGCAGAGTGTTCATCAGGAAGGTAAGGGGTCTCCTGTGAAGGCAGGAGACCACTCTGAGCCCTTGGAGGGACCTGGTTGTGATGGTTTGGTGGCCTCCCTGGGCTGGGTGGGAGGCAGAGACACTGCAGGTTGCCAATGGGCTGCCTCTCGTTGCAGGTTTATGCCATCCTGATGGTCCAGCTCTTGGTCACTGTCATTATTGTGGCTTTCTTCACCTTCTGGTAGGTCTCTCATGTAGCAGTAATGCTTGCTTTGTCCTGTGTACAACCTGCTCCTCAATTTTCTGTTACTTGGGGGGTGTTGGCTGTTGTGTAGATACATGATTTTTCAAATTAATATAGGGTGCTAAATGGCAATAACCAGCTATAAATATCCAAAGCGTTTCCTTAATTACAGTTTTAAGGCTTGAATTGAAATTGTATTCTATGATTCCACGAAATTTTCTGGCATTCCTTCTAAAATGTTAAGAAACTGACAGTGATGGGCTGGAAGAAAACCTTAGGAGAACTGCTGCTACTTTTCATTAATTTAAGACATCTCTTTTTTTCAGAGTTTAAAGCTTTAGGAACTTTGATTCCATGGAGCCTGTGTTATCTGCCCCCCTTCCCCCCCCCAAGTGCTCCAATGGAAAAACAAAACTGAGGGAACCCTGGGAGGTCCCTTGGCACTTCTGCTCTTTTCTTGCACATCCTCTGCATGGGCTGTGGTCCCTTCCCCAGCCAAGAGGTCTGGGCTGCTCACCCTTGAGCATGAACTGCTGTATTTTTCCCTTGGGAGTTATCAAGGGCATCGGATCCTGGCTGGGCTGGGTGCCAGGGACCGGGTTACCCCCCCTGGCAAAAGCAGATACCCCGTGCTCTCTGCCTCTGCCTTGGGTGACCAAGCATTTTGGGCATGTGTGGCTCGTCTTGCCTCCAGAATAAATAATGAATCACCGTCAGCCTGAGGATTCCTGCTCTTTAATCACTTCTCGGGGCAGGCCTGGCTGGGTAATTGATAACAGTGGGGCTGGCTTTCCCACTTGACAGGTTGAATTTCTTTCCAGTTGGTCAGTCTGCGGAGGTTTGGCCGCGTTGTTTTTTCCACATACCCCGTGCCGCATCACCCCGTGTGTTTAATTTAGCGGCAGGCTGTGAAGTGATTGGCTTTTTTCTTTTTTTTTTTTATGCTTTCTGCTCAGCATCCCTTTTCTCTGTCTTGCAGCGAGCCGGTCAAGGGGTACATTCAGACGCACTCTGCCTGGTACTGGGCTTCCTAGTGAGTATCCCTGTCTTCTCCCGTAGCCACGTGTGCTCCAAACAGCTCTGGATGTGGCTGTGGTGACGTGGAGACACTTTCCAAACACTTCTTTATCTTGCATGTGAAGAATTTCCCCGATACATGTGCAGGGGGAGCTGGGGAAATTAATGGATAACTGTGAGGTGAGAAGATAGAAGAGTCTCACCTAAGTGAGTCCAAGACACGAGATATACTGGATACCTCCAAGTATTTCCAAAAAGAGGACTTGCCTGCTCTACAAAACAGGCTCGGAGGAAATACAGGAATATTGCTTGCAGGGAAAAAATGGGTAAAACTGGGGAGCTTCTGGGAAAGCAGTGCAGCAACCCAGATGTGAGACTTGAAAGGGACCTGGGGAACCTTAGGGGCTTCCTTTTGGGTTTGTCCCACTGAAAGCAGGGAGATTTCCTGGGGCTACATCACATGCCTCGATCTGCAGCAGGTGAAGGAGGGAGCAGGCAATGCTAAGGGGAGAAGGGACACATTTGGAGGGATGAAGGTGTTTGTGGGGGCTCTATATTCATCACGGAGCTGCTCTCGGTGCCTGGAATTTGGGATGGTGTTTGTGAGCCAAGCCTGGTCTGAAAGGTCAGGTCGGAGGCAGCACAAACTGTGCTTCCATGCACTGGTTTATTTGCAGTTGTGCTGGTTTCCTGGATGCCGCTTGTGTTAGTGCTGCTAATTAAGCAGGCAGAGTGTGCGAAGCGATTGTCCGTGAATGAGGCTTGGTGAACTTGGCTTTAATTAGTTCACATCCAAATCATGAAATGTGTCCAGGCCTGGAGATGAGCCACCAGCTTATATAACTAAAAGAAAAAACAAAAAAAACAAAGACCCAAAATAGCAGTAATAGAAGGGAACTGGCATCAGCCTGTCTCTTTGACCTCAGAGGAAAATAATGTGCTCCTCCTTGGCCAGTTGGTAGACTGGAGAAGCAGCGGTGCCTTGGAGGGAGAGAAGACCAAGCTCTACTTTGACCTTTGGGTTCATCTCCTGTTGCTTACTGGACACAGAATCCCAGAATGATATGGGGTTGGAAGGGATCTCTGGAGATCATCTCCCCCCAACCCCCTGCCAGAGCAGGTCTCACCCAGAGCAGGTTGCACAGGAACGTGTCCAGGCATGGTCTGAATGTCTCCAGAGAAGGAGACCCCACCACCTCTCTGGGCAGCCTCTTCCAGGTCTCTGCCACCCTCAAAGTCAAAGAAGTTCCTCCTCATGTTTAGGTGGAACTTCTTATGTCCCAGTTTGTGCCCGTTTCCTCTTGTCCTGTCACTGGGCACCACTGGAAACAGACTGGTCCCATCCTCCTGACAGGAGCAAACCCACCTTGGGCCAGCTGGGGGTAGGCTTTGTACTAGAGGGACTTGAATTTTGTCTGTCCCCTCCACTTCAGGATCTCCAAGTCCTTATCCTGACCTGCGTCTCCCCTTTCATACACAGAGACCCCAACCCTCTCTACGTCTCTGTAAAGAAGTGGGGGCCCTGGGGTGTTTTCCCACTACTGGGGCGATGGCTCAGAGGGAATAAAGGAAGAGGAGATGTGAGAAGGGATGCGAAGGAGAGAGACAACTGCAATGGCTCACTTTGCTCTCCCCACACCTTTCTTTCCATCTATTCAGCCGTGTCCACTCCAGCTTTCCTGGTTTCCCCGTGGGAGGGCAATGCTCAGGTTTATCTCTGGTGCCTTTATCGTGGCCCCCGTGGGTTTTGCCGTCACATTCATTTATTAGACCTAAGGCGAGTGGCTATCGTGCAGCCATCGGCACGCTTGGAACCTGCTCTTCCCCCCCCACCCCAGGCACTGGGTGAAAGCAAGGGAGCAGGTTCCTGCTGGGCCGTAACCCATCAGCGCTGTGGAAAAACACCCGGCTGTGTGACAGCAGGTCCCTCAGCTGCTGGATTCTTTTTAGCTTGGCTGAAGGGCCAAGTCATGGGAGATAAATAACCCTCCTGTCATCTGGGGATGGCTTGTGCAACAGCGTGTTAGGCTTGGGGCTGCTTCAGCCACCTCAGAGGATCCTTCTGCTGTTGAACTCTTCCTCGAGCACCGGTGCAGTAACGTGGGACCAGTTCCCTTCTCTGGCCCAGACCTTCCCTCCGGCCTCAGGCAGTCACTCTTGTAAATCCTGAATTAAGTGCTGATGAAATCCCAGCAGGTGGGGGTAGGCTTTGTACTGGAGTGACTTGAACTTTGTCTGTCCCCTCCACTCCAGGGTGTCCACATCCTTGATCCCACCAAGCTGGGAAGTGCCTGGAGATGAGTGGCAAGGCCTGGCCACCTTTATATGAGTGATTCACACACTGAGGAGGTGTCTACAACAAACACCTCTGGGTTCTCCATTTCCCCTGGACCCAAATGCTCCCCTTGCTCTGCTCTAAAACCCCCCTTCAGGGGTTTTTGGGGCTGGTTGTGCTCTCCCACCTCAGACTGGCACAAGCAAAGTAGGCAGCTGGGGGCAGAAATATGCTTCAGGGAGAGGTGGTTATGGCCGTGCTTCCCACCAGCCTCAACTTCTGGCATGGTGCACTGGAGAGCACTGGAACTCATTAGCATCAACAAATAATGCTCAGCTTTTCCTCCCTAAACTGTTTTTTTCTCTCCTTTGCAGTGCTGTTTTCTTTGTGACATATTTGATTCTTGCTTGCTGCTCCGGACCCAGGTAAAATATTTTCTTTTTGGATTTGAAACAGCCCTGTGAAGTGAAGGGTGAAGGGTTTTCCCCTGGTTTCAAGCACGGCCAACAAAGTCGTGGAGGTGGGATGGGGTCACGCTGACACCGTGATGTAGGGAGCGAGGTGGCAGCTGTATTTTTCAGGTTTGCAGTTGTGGGTTGCAGCAACACAGCGTTAAAAGCTGAGGTCAAATTGCAGCTGGAAAGCAAAAAGTGTTGCAGCAAAAAAGTCACATTGCCCCAAATTCTCATTATTCAATACTGCGGAGGAGGGTTGTCATTGGCGATGCTGGCTGCTCTGCTGGGGAATATCACAGTGGTGATTGCCCTCTTGGGGGGGCATGGCCCTGGAGCACCCCAAATTCTAGTCCCAGAGGGTGACTGCCCCCTTGTACCCCCCCTCCCGTGTGCTGCAGCGCTGCCAGTTCCCCCCCATGGCAGGGCTGACCCAGCCCCTCTCTCTTCACTTGCAGGAGGTATTTCCCATGGAACCTGATCCTGCTGAGCATCTTTGTAAGTAGCACATCTGGACAACATCTGCCCTGCCCCTGCAGGGGTTTCAGATTGGCTCCCGGGCAGGAATTTCATCCTCTAATCGCCCCACCTTTGGGCTGAGAGGCTGTAATTGAACTAGAAGGTGATAAGCAGGAAAGAAGAGAGCCTCTGTTTTTTGAAAAGAAAGAAAATAACTGTAAAACCTGCAGAGGGTGGTAGGAGCTGGGGTAGGGTCCTGTGCAAGAGGGGTAGAGGGACAGAGAAGGTGGGACTGCTCTCAGGGTGGTGGCCTGCCCTCGCTTTAACCTGCCCTGTGGATATTAATCACTGGAGGATTAGAAACTATGTAAAAACTGCTTCTCTTGAGCATCCGTTTGAGAGGCTTCCCTGCCCTTGTCATCGTCGCTGTAATTGATATGTTTTATCTGCTGTGTGTCTCCCCTGGGACATGAATGCAGGAGTAATGTGGTTCTCTTCCCCTCCCAGACGCTCTCCATGGCTTATCTCACTGGGATGCTCTCCAGGTAGGTTGAGCACGTGGACTCTAGAGGTTTTCTGCTCCTCTGTCCTGTCTCTTCTGCCAAAAAAACCCTTTCCCTTCTTCTGAACTCCATGGGCCACCTGATCTCTTTGGAGCTGTTCCAGCAGCCACACAAACCCTGGCCTTCCCTTTTAAAAACACTTTTAAAGAAGCTCTCTGAAACCTACGGTGAAATTTCCTTCTCTGTCCCGGCTGGGATGGCACAGGGTAGTTCCTGGCTCCTGGAGGGGCAGGGACAAGGCGATAGGGGACTGCCACGTGCTGGGATCTCACCTTTTCCACTGAGCAGCACTCCAGCAGATGAGGTTGCAGCCAGACAAGGAGGCTTTTTTCCAGCAGTTTTGTGGGTTTTTTTGCAGTCTACAGCCTCCTCCCTCTTGCCTGTGTTTTTCCTGTTCCAGTCTGCTCACAAGATCAGCCCTGGTTCACGTGGGGCCCTGGTGATGAGGCAGATGAGCCGGTGGGTGTTGATTGGGACAAAGAAATTAATGGCTTCAGCAACTCGGGGAAAATACCCGTGATATCGCTCTCAAATCAATCCGAAGGGGAGAGTGGGGACTGGCTTTTCTTAGGGCTGAGCCTAGTGCTGCAATTAAAATCAGCAGCCAGACTGAATTAGAGTCTCTCTACCTCTTCAAATCCCTCCAGTTTTCCAAGACCCCAACCCCTGTTAGGAGCCCATCATTAGGGTAACCAGTGGCTGCAGCTCTCTGATTTCTCCTTGTGCTGCAGTGACATTTGCTGTTCTATTTTTATTACCTCCCAGTTTGAATCCTCCTCCTTCTCCATCTGTCGAGGGAGAGAGATATTTATTTTTTTTTTTTAATAGCAAGCCCCCATCTTTGCTGCTCTCGAGTTCCCAGGAGGCATAGACCTGCCCTCAGGCCTACCCTCTTCTATTTAAAGCAGGAGGAAAACCCATCTAATCTTATTTTAGTGTTTTCTATCCTCTTTTTACATCAGGACTGGGGGGGAGGGCGGCATCGATCATTTCAGTGCCATTTATGTCCCCAGGAAATGCTTTCCCTGTACAGCTCTGCTAAGCTTCTGCCTGTCCCTGTGAGAAACACTGAAAAAAGTGGTTTTGCTGTGAATTTTGCAGTTACTACGATACCAAGTCGGTCCTTTTGTGTCTGGGGATCACGGCCCTGGTGTGTCTGTCTGTCACCATCTTCAGCTTCCAGAGCAAGGTGAGCTTGTGCTGGTCAGTCCCTCCGGGAGAAGCATCTCCAGGGGCAGGGCAGGGCACAGGGAAAGGCAGCTCCAGGGTGAGGTGTGAAGGGGCAGGTCTGTAGGGCTCTGGGGGCAGCAGGAACCTGCTGGGATGTAAAGTGGAGGTTACAGGAAGATCAGGGCAGATGCTGGGGTGAGGGATGTGTACGGGGCATAGATGGGGCTGGAGGATGCTAATGTACGGTGGTGGGGTGGGGTTTTTTCATAGAATTGTAGAATGGGTAGAGTTGGAAGGGACCTTAAAGCCCCCCCAGTGCCACCCCCTGCCCTGGGCAGGGACACCTCCCACCAGACCAGGTTGCCCAAAGCCCCCTCCAACCTGGCCTTGAACCCCTCCAGGGATGGGGCAGCCACAGCTTCTCTGGCCAACCTGGGCCAGGCTCTCACCACCCTCACACCAAACAAGTTCTTCCCCACATCTCGGCTCCATCTCCCCTCTTTCAGTGTCAAACCCTTCCCCCTCATCCCATCGCTCCCCTCCCTCATCAAGAGTCCACCCTCAGCTCTCCTGTATGCCCCCTTATAGGCTGCTATAATTTTTTTGGAGGATTATGCTGTGGGGTGCAGAAGGGCAGTGGCACAAAGGTGTAGGATGAGCTTTAGGATCTCAGGTGTGTGATGGGTACCGAGTTCTTGCCTGTGGCAATAAAGGGGGTAGGGTAAGAATTTGGCTCCTACATCTGGGTGTTGGGCTGTAGGACCTGAGATGCAGCTGAAGCAATTGCTTTGTGACAGCAAGGTGGGTGTGCTGCTAGGGTGGTCCCTTGTGGTGGGCATGGGGAGGTTGGGCTTCCCTCCCTGCCTCCTGCTCCAGCTCTCCGTGCTGGTAATGTGATGTTCTCCACCTCCACAGTTCGACTTCACCTCCTGCCAGGGTGTCCTCTTCGTGATGCTCATGGTGCTCTTCTTTGGTGGCATCATCCTGGCTGTGATACTGCCCTACGGCCAAGTGAGTAACCACCCGCACCCCTCCTTCCTCTCCCAGTGCCACCAGTCCCGGTGTGAGGCTGGGAGCTGTGTGTCCCCATGGTGGCCCAGCCTGAAAACGTGCAGAAACACCAGCAGAAAGAACAGGCGAGACCGGGTGGCTGTTGCCTGGTGGCTGGACAATCAGATATCAGGGTGTAGGACGGCGCTGGCCTGGGGCTTGAGGAAGTTTTGTTTCTGTTCCTGGAGCTGTGTAGTGACCCCACAGCAGGTCACAGCTCCTGCTCGTGCCTCAATTTCCCCTCCAGTAAAAACCAGGGCAGAGAACACATTAAAGCACTGGGTTGCCCTGCATGAAACAGGACTCTTGCCCCAGATTCAGGGCAGGACTTGGACTCTGGACGAGTGGGTTGTCTGTCTGGCCAGACCTGGCTGCATTCACCCCGACACCCGGCACTGTCTTGCAGCATTTAATACTTGGGGCTCAAATTTCTCAGAAATAAGCCCCTCTGGAGGGTGATCCAGACTCCAGAGGACAAGTCCTGATGATGACTGACCACCTTGCTTGGGTCCAGCCACTTCCTTCAGCCTCCCAGGTCCCAGCTGGCGTTGGCCGTGCCCAGCTGGAACCTCGGAGCGGTTTGTGGCCACACCTGATCAAGGGTTTGGCATGGCAGCACTGAGTGTCTGGTCTCCATCCAAGAGTGTCTCATAAGGTGAGTTGTCTTTCAAGCGAGAGCCTGACAGACCCCGGGAGCTGCTGATGAAAGAGAGAAGGTGTGTGGGGCCGTGCAGCCACCATTAATCACCTGCCTGGAGATGGAGGCACCTGGCTTTGATCATGGTAGCCTTTAAGTGACCTCCAAATCCTTCATGTCTTCTTGGGCTCCTCCGGGAACCTGAGTCATGCTTTACCAGCCAGACCTGCAGGAGACGCTCCTCCTGGTACCAGCCCTGGAGCTGGTCTGGTGGACGAATGCTCCTAAACCAGGAGCTTGGTTTTGCACTTGCCTTGGCTGGAGATCCATCTCTCCCTCCTGCAAAAACCTGAGGGTGAAGCAGCTTGTGGTGCCAAGCCGCTGCCATTAAACTGTTGAGACAACTGCTCTTTTATCTTGCAGCTTGTCAAGATAAGCGTGGCTCCAGGCGGCTGGTAATGAGCTTGTCTCTCCGGGGTGGCAGGCTGCGATCTCCAGACTGAATCAGCTCCCCGTGTGGGCACCTTCTCCTGGAACACAGGCAGCTCCTCCACTAGCGTGGCGTGCCGCTGGGCAGGGGTCGAGATTTGGGCTTAATTCCAGTGAATTTCCTGCTGTGACTCCAGCAGATGAACGTGTTGAAGTTACACTTGTTAACTAAAGCTGGGTCTGGCCCTGAGAAGCATTTGGTGTTTCTTCCAGAGCGATCGCCCTTGTCTGGTTAAATAAACACCTGAGGCTGCTGCACAATGTGTTTCCATCAGCACAGGGCTAAGAGGCTTCCACAGAGACAGCAGCTGTGTTGGAGGAGGTGATTCGGAAACACCAGGACCTGAGCTAGGAGCTTATAAGCCACAAAGACCACAGTGAGAGGGGAAACTGAGGCACGGTTACCTCTTCGTTGCCATGAAAAGCTCAACAGCAGAGACTGCATGGAGCTGGAAATGGAACGAGTCCAGCCTGGGCTATTAGAGGGCTTTCCCTGACTTGTGTCCCTCACACCAGAGCTAAGCCCTTCTGTGTCAAGTCCTAATTAACCAGTTTTCTCCCAGGTACTGGCTGACAAATTTGTTTCCTTTAGGTCCCTTGGCTCCACGCGATCTACGCTCTGCTTGGTGCCATCATCTTCACCATGGTAAGTGGGTGCTGGTCGTGGGGTCTGGGAATGTGCCAGCAGGAAAAATAAGCGAGGAGTAAACATTTTTAACCATGAAGACTGCTTGGGGGAGAGAAGAAGAGCAAGTGGCAGGATTGCAGAGAGCTCCACATCCTCAGGTGGCTCATGAATAGCAATTACAGCAGTGACCTCAGCCTTGTTTCAAGAAGGTGTTGGTGTACGTGACGGTGCCGGTGCAGAGCGTGGTGAGACCGGCAAACCCATGCCGTATGCGCAATACTAGGTGTGAACAGCAGAAAGTATTACAGGGCCGGGGCAAAAAGGCACCCCCAGAGTGGGAAAAGCAGAGATTAAGCTTTGGCCACAGGGGCAGGAGCCGGACTCCAGAGCTCAAAGGGAGCCTGGGGATGAAATGAGGCTGCAGAAGTGAGGAAAGTCAAGTTGGGGCCAGTTGAGTGGGAGTGGGCCAAGGGTTGGGTGTGAGCTTGGCTGGAAGAGGCAGAGAAGGAGAGAGGCCAGGGTTTGGGATTAAGGGGCATTAGGAAAGGTTCGCTGCAGGCAGGAAAAGCCCTGGAGCTGGGCAGCTCCTCCAAGGAAGGTGAAAAGGCTGGGTTCATTCCTTTGACTGCTCCCCAACGGTCCCTTCTGCCAGCTTCTTCCCAGAGCAAGTCCCAGCAGTGCTGTGCTTGCCATTCCGGTGTGGGAGTTGTCTGGGAAGATGCTTGGCGTTGCCTCGGTGGGGGTCAGGCGGAGGGCTGCCCTGGGGTTCAAGGCGGTGCCCATTGGGCACGTTGTGAATAAGAGCAGTTGAGCAATTTCATTTATTAGCTATAATAGAGTCATTTCAAGAGAGCTCGGGTATTTCTTCCGTGATTCATGATTAAAGACTGCTCCGTAAAATACAAATAGGCTAAACATCTTATAATTACCCCATAAACTTCAGTCAGAACCTCAGCTGGTGGAGCCGATTGTGCCAGGCTTGTCAGCTCAGCCTGATGGTGTCTGGGGAGGGCAGAGGTGGCAGCTGACCCCAGGCGATGGCAAAGACACCCTGCAGAGCTCCCCACCGAGGTGGCTCTGGTGGGACTAGGTTAACAGAGAGCAAAGGTGAGATGGGAGAAGATCTTGAGCTGGAAGTCATGCAACAAGGCACAGCTTTTCTTGCAGCTGGGCCACCAGCCTGCCTCGTAGCTCATGTTCATTCCTGTGAGTGCTGTGACTCCTCCCCCTGCCCCAAGATTTGGGGTTTCTTGCTCTTTATTGCTCCTGTGTTGCGGCTGCTGCAATGTCATGTTGGGTCCAGGTCACCTTCTTACCTGGGAGGTGTTTCTGAACTGGGGGAAGTCTGGGAATAACAAGTCTAGGGACTGGCTGAGGAGGAACAGGGAGAACTGCTCCAGCGCTGATCCTGGGACGTGTTTGGGATGGATGAAGCAGAGGGGGAGCCTTGGGGGGGAAAAGCATGAAGGAAACAGGCCTGGAGTAATAGTCAGGGTTTGACTATCAAGAGTGAAATGAAAGAAGAGGAATGTTGCAGCTTGTTCATTGCATTGTTCTGAGCTTTTAAAATCACGGTTATAGCCCACAGAAAGTGTCTGCCTTTTTATCCTGGGTACAGTAAAGCAGTTGAGAGAACTCCTGCCATTAGAGCACTTCTTGCCTCTCTGCCAGATCTCCATGTGACTGTCATTGGGTTTTCTCCTCTTTCCTCACAGTTCCTGGCATTTGATACCCAGATGCTGATGGGGAACCGTCGGTACTCGCTGAGCCCAGAGGAATACATCTTTGGAGCCCTCAATATCTACCTGGACATCATCTACATCTTCTCATTCTTCCTCCAGTTCTTTGGCTCCAGCCAGGAGTGAGTGCAGCAAGGCAGTATCTTCTCTTTGCTGGCAAGATGCAAGTGTTGAAAAATATTAAAAGAAGAGCAAAAGAGGGTTTAAAAAAAACCAAAACCAACCAAACAAAACCAAACCCACCCTTTCTGGCCCACTAGCAGGCTCCATTCTATCAGCTGAGCAAAGCCCCTGGGTTCCTTATGCAGCTTGTATATATGCTGTTAGGCCTTTGTGACCCAGAAAGCAAAGCAGGGCTTAAGTGTTATGTCTCTTCTGCTCCCTCCACTCCTCCTGAGATCAAACCAGACCAGAGACTGGGAGGCATGAGACCAAGATCTTCTCTTCCCCAGAGGCTGTCAGAGTTGCCTGTCTGAGTCCTGTACACCATGGGATGTTGATGTGCTGAGAACAGCTCTGCCAGGAGGAAAATAACATGAAGGGGAGGAGAGCAGGGAATTTTTGCTGGGATCCTGGCAGGAAAACCAGCTGAACAAAGAAAAAAGGCTAGGGAAATCCTTGCACCCCCTGTTTCTCTCCTGCGTTCGTTTGGAGCCTTGTGGCTTCTGCAGAGATGTATTCCTGATAGTACCTGCTTTTAGAAATGCAGAGCACGGGCTCATGTAGTCTGGGTGTCCCAGCAATCGGTCCTGCAGGCACAAGGGAACCTGTTGGTCAGGATGTGCAGCCTCTTTGAGGACACCCCCAATGTCCCTGCAGGAAGAATTCTTCTGTACCCTTTGCATCTGGCAGTGGGGCTGAGTTTGTACTTTCTTTCCTTCCCCGAGCGGGACAGCAGGACCTCTGGCTGTGGGGTCACCTCCCCACCCGAGGGGGACACGTGTCAGTTCTCCCTGAAGTGTGGCTCCTCACCTGGGAGGGCTGGGATCCCATGTAAGAATTATTGGCAGAAAAGAGATTAAAGAGGCTGAGTTTCAGAGCTCAGGCAAAGCCAGGCACCTCCTGATGAGGGACATGGGCAGCTGAGCTCTTGTAATCCATCATGAGGATCCGATGCCTTCACAGAATGGTCTTGGTTGCTTGAGATTAATGGTTTTAAGTGGCTACTAGGCAGAGACTGAGGCCAGGGTGAAGGTCTGTTGATCAAAATGGGCACTGCTTTGTAGCAAACACCAATGTCACCTCTTGCTCTGGTGATTTTCTGGTTTTGCTCTCCCAAATGGGGATGTCAGAGAGAGCGTTGGATGCCTCCGAGTGCTCGGGTAACTTTCCATCTTCCCCTTGCTTGCATTCCCCGGTTTGGGGATTAGCTGGCTAATTTCTAACTGTAAAGCTCCAGGTGGAGATAAGAGGCCTTTTGCTTTTATTTAAAAAGTGATCCTTCCTGCTGATAGAAACCCATATCTTCAATCTCTTTGGGAATGCCAGGGCAAGTGCGTCACTGAGCTGCCTCTAGCAATCCCTGCCTGTTAGAGAGAGGCTTATGCCAAAATGCTCCGTCCTGCGCATTCCTCCTCTGCTGCTGCCCTGGCTTTTACCCTTCACATGTCGTATCCTCCTCCCGCACGTGTTCCATGCCCCAAGCTGGGCAGAGGAAAGTTACTGTGCAGAGAGTTAAAAAACACTCTGGCCCCTCTGTGGCTGCACTGACCTTGTCTGTGATCACACAGGAGCACAGCTGATGCTTTCTGCCTTACCTTCCCAGTCCCTCAAACCCCCAAACCAAACACACACCCCCCACACTGCCCCACTTTTAAGGAATAAAGGAGATTATTAGGTGATGACGGCACAGTTCATGACCCACTGATTTCTGCAGTGCATCATAGAGAGGAAACCCAGGCCTTGAATGTCTGAGCAAGGGACAGCATGGGAGACACCCTAAAAGTTTAAGAAATAGGAATTTAAAGAGGAATTTTTCTGGCTTGGATCCATGCAGGCACTTCTGAAGTATCTTAGCAGACTGGCTGTGTAGCCTTCTGTTTTGGGGTTGGTTTTTTTTTTCTGCTCACAGCAAAAGGCCCATAAGTACTTCTGCTTTCCAGCTTTTGAGGAGGGAACATGGAGTTACATGATGAGTTCTGACTCTGAAGTAGTCCTGAAACTCCTCCTCTGGAGGACAATCTAGACCAGAGCTCTGCAGCCCTCCTTTCTGCACTGGGACTTCTCTGTAGTGGCCCTGCACACCCTGGGACCTGGGAGGAGAACGTGGATCTGCAGCCCACTCTGGATCTCTTGCTCTTTTTCCTTCTGGTGTGGAGTAACTTTGCCGCTGCCTGAGCTGCTGGTACCTCCTGGCTTTTTGCTCCTGTGGGGGAAAAGCTCGCATGGCCCCTGCCCCATCTCCAGGCCACCTGAGTGGGGATGGCTTGTTGCCCTCCCCTTCTTGCATGTGTCCTTGTCCTCCTCCCGTGCTGGCCCTGTGGCTTGCAGCCCATCCATGCCAGACCCAGTGGAAGCCCTTGGACTGAAGCAGTGAGTGAGATGTAGATGCTCAGAAAGGTGGAAGTCCTCACAAGGCTGAGTGACACAGGATGAGGGGTGGGATGTAGCTATAGGCATGTTCCTCCTGGGTTCCCCGACCATCTCCCCAGGGAAGGTGCGGGGCTGCTTCTCTTCCTCCCTGTGGATGTCCTTTATCTGAGGTCTGCATCGTTCGGATCCTGGCTCTGTAACGCCCCCCCTGCTTCTTTTGTTCGGCTGTTCTTATGATTTCATTGTAAATAGGATTTTGTATTTTCTCTGAACATTGCTAATAAATTGTTGCAAAACTGTTGTTGCTGTTGTGAGGTGGCCCCTACTGAAATGCAGCCGAAGGAAGGGCTGGTGGTACAGCTGGTGCTTCCTCCCCTTAAAACAGAAAACATAAACAAGTTTGTGGCACGATGGGGCATGGCCCCAGGTTTTTTTTTGGAGATGAGGCTGTCCCTTCTCTGGTTATGACTAAGGAACACATCCTACACGATGTGATAAAATGCACATGGCTCCAGCATGGGCAGAGAGCACCAGGAGTATTTGAGACCTGAGGGCCAAGGGGCTCCTTGGTTGAGGATCTGGGTGTCTCTTAGCCTTGGTTTAAGCAGCCAAAGGATTAAAAAAACATGAGTAAGTTGGGATAAGCAAGTGTTGTAAGCAAGGCACCTGCTCAGAGGGCATTCTCTGGAGAGCAACCTGATGTACTAGGCTTTCTTTAGGGGTAACAAAAATGCCTCTGGAGAGCAATTCACCTGATCTAAATTAATCCCTGCGCTGGGAGGTGAAAACTCCTATCTCTCTCCATCAGCTCCAAAGGGCTGATTCATCCAGACTATCAGAGCTCTCTGGGGAGAGAAATCACAGCTGCAGCATCCTGTTGTGAGGGATCCTTGCCCTTTGGAAGGAGCTGTACCCAAAAGGCAGGCGAGGGATCTCTTTCCTAAGAAGCGTGGCCAGACAGCGTGGTACGGCCAGAATGGTCTTTCCTGGCCACACTCATATTTTCTGTGGAAATAAAAAGATTTTGCCCTGAGTCTTGCTGGATAATGCTCTGCTACGGGATGGCTTTTGTGGAAAAATAACCGGAGTGGAGCATTTCCATTCAAACAATGAGGTGGCCACAAGCATTTATATGAGGCATCATTAGCTCTTCTTGTAATTACAGCAAAAGGGATAAAAGGCTGATGATTCAGTCAAATTGCAACACTTGGCTTTTGAGGAACTGGGCAAAAATTCGTTTGACTGAATGGAAGTGGGACCACTCAGCGGTAGGACGCAGGGATGTGGGAGAAGGGAGTGGACGGAGAGATTCATCAGGGTGTGAAGGATGCTGGAAAAAGGAACGGATCGCGCTGTTTCCCGTGCCTACGGCAAACAGAACAGGAATTTGGGGATCCTAAATACAGCCAGAGAGAGTCAGAGGAGACCTCAAAAAACCTGAATTCCACTGCCTGGAGAAGGGAAGTTTTTTTATTCACTTTTGCACTTCTTTCTGCCTTCCGTGCTTGAGGTATTTTGAGGGAGGAGGGCCTCTTGTTGTCAAGTTGGCACAGGCCATGCCACGGAGCCGGGGATCCCTGCTGATCCCCTCTTCCTTCTTCCACAGTGAGAACCCAATGGAAAAAGGGCCCTGATTCAGGCAGGAGTCATTCACCCGCATTTCTGAGCTGCTGGCGCCCTCTGCTCTTCACCCGGTGATAAAAAAATAACCACAGGATAAAATGAAATCTAGGTTCCCTGTGTGTTACGGTTTAAGGAACCCACAACAATTTATTGTTGTTTAGGTATTTTTTCCTATCACCTGATGACCCTTCCCGACCCAGGAAGAGGAATTGGGGAAAGACAAGTTAACCCTAGGGTTGAAATAGAAACAGATTTAATAGCATAAGACTAGATTATTAACATTAATAACACTAAAGCACCAGTATCGATCCCAGTAAGGATCATCCCCAGACCATTCCATGATGAGGAGGCTGGTCCCCCCCAGCAGGGACAGCCAATGTGGGACCCTGCAAGCGCTGGGGCTTCGGGAGGAAGGGAAGGGCTCGGGGCTCCGGCACCAGAGCAAGGAGTTCTCAGGGTGGCAGCCATCAAGGGAGAGAGAGAGGGGAGAGAAGCCCTCTCCAAACTTCCTAATTTACGTTGAATGTGCCCATCATGGTACGAAATAACCCTGTTGGATTGGGGCAAGTGCCTGGATCTTGCTCCTCCTCATCCCCACACCTCGAAAACCCTGAGACCTTGAATCCCACACCCCAGAGCAGGCTATAAAGTAAGTATTTTCCCCAATTCAGACCTGGAGTCTTCTAAAAGTGCAGTCTTCCCAAGCTTTAGAAGACAAATTAGTCTCAAACCAGGTTCCTTGTGTCAACTTGACCCTAAAACCTTCCCTGTGCGAACCCTTTCCTTCTTTTAACCACAAACTTTCATTTTCTTCTGCTGTAAAACCTCCTGCCTATGGGGACCTGGGCAATCCCAAGGCAAATGCATGATTAAATGCGATTTAAATACCATTTAGACATGATTTATAGAAGTATACACGTATCTCTGCAAAGAACGTTTTTATAGAAGTTTGTAGAAGCATTTATAAATAGGAAACTATAAATAGGGAAACTGATTGAGGTTGGGTTGCCCAGATTCAGGTGGGTTTTGACGCCTGCACCGAGTGAAAGCTGAAATGAAATTTTTGGCTTTATTTGACACCATTCTTTGGAGGTGGGTAGTCTCTCTGGGGGGGGGGCCTGAGCGGGGGTCACCCCAAGATCCCCCCAAAAAGGCCTGCGGCCCCCCCTCGCTAGGCCGCAGCGTCGCCATGGCAACGCCGGGGCAAAGGGCCAAAGGTGGTTGGAGCCATCACCCTTCGCCCTCCCCTGGCGCCACGGGGCAGAGACGGGCTGTTTTCACACAAAACCTCGAAGAATCTTCCTTTTCACTCAAATGAACCTGGAAAGGCTGCGGTAAAGGCAGCGGGGGCTGCGCGGGCCTGGTGGCAGCGGGAGGGCGGCGGTGTCGCTTGTCGCCCTCCCCGT